TGCCTAATAATTATGCACAGTAATAGTCACCTGCACACACAGATATCCCCCTAAAATAGCTAAAACTAAAAACAAACTAAAAACTACTTCCAAGAACATTCAACTTTGATATTAATGAGTTTTTGGGTTCATTGAGAACATGGTTGTTGTTCAATAATAAAATTATTCCTCAAAAATACAACTTTCCTAATAATTCTGCACTCCCTGTATCAACAGAGAAGACTGTAGGTAGGAAGGAAGGTCTGTTGGATTCTAATAGCTCTTCTGTTCAGGATATTAAAGGCGTTTAATCTGTACATTTTATAGGTTCTTGATCTCGCTGCTGAGCTGGACTGTTTAATGGCCATGAGCAGCGCCTCCCAGGAGTACAATTATACCTCGCCTAAGCTAGCCAGCAACAGGAAGATAACGATCACACAGGGCAGGTAAGCGCTGACACACAAAAGGAAAAATTGTTACTGCGGTACAAGAGTGTACTTTTGTATTTACTGTTTTGTTTTTTGTTTTTTGTTTGTTTGTTTTGGGGGGGGTTTGTTTTTGTCCAGGCACCCGCTGTTGGAGCTGTGCTCTCCTGTGTTTGTGGCCAACTCCTTCCACAGCTCTGAGTCGGAGGGCAGAGTCAAAATAATCACCGGACCCAACTCATCCGGAAAGAGCATCTACCTCAAACAGGTAGGGCTGTCATAAAAATGAATTTAACTGAACTGAATTTTATTTTATTCTTCTTTTGTGATCCCAAGTGACGAGCTTCTATGAGCCAAATAGCCAAGCAAGAAGTTTTAAAAACAATAATAATAAGAAGAATTTTAAAAATGATGGCATTCAAGAGACAAATAATCAGCATTATTGCACATAATTTGCCTTTTTCTCTCAGCAGCTGCATTTGCACCTTAGAAAAGATCCACAACATTTACCTATTTCCGTTCAACACTATTTTTACTTTAGTTATTTAATCAGGCATTGCTCCGAAATTTACAACCTCATCAGAAAAATATATTTAGATTCCCATAATAGCAAAGAGACAGCTCAGTTTTTGAAACTCAACGCTTAACCTGCTTTCTATTTTGATTTTGCAGGTGGGTCTGATTGTGTTCATGGCTCTGATTGGCTCAGACGTGCCTGCAAAGGAGGCAGAGATTGGTCTAGTGGACGGCATCTTTACGTGTATACAGAGCAGAGAGTCTGTGTCTGTGGGCCTTAGCACCTTCATGGTAGACCTCAACCAGGTATCTCACGCACACACAAAAACACAGAAATCTCATGATAACAAGCAGCTCCCACTGTGTATGTGTGTAGGTGTACAAATGAAATATATGAATTTTCATCACTGCTCTTTTCATGCTCCACTCCCACTCTCCACCTGTCAAATTTTTTTAAGCAACCACTGCCTGCAGCAATGAGACACACACACACACACACACACACTAAAATGCAAAGTGTAGTCTAACAGTTTGCATCTCTTTTCTCTAGATGGCACAGGCTCTTAACAGCAGTACTGGCAACTCGTTAGTCCTCATCGATGAATTCGGAAAAGGAACTAACACAGTAAGAACAGACTGTCCCAGCACTTTGTGAATTGAACACATATGCACGAGGGTAAAAGGGGAAACACTATGTCATTAATGTTACGCACCTGAAACCAGTCACAAGTTTAAAGCTGCAGCACAAACAGACTCTGGGTTCAGCCAAACATGTGTCACCTATTAGCAAGAAAATAGCAGCAGCTGTGTGGACCTACAAACTTAGAAGTGTTATTTTGCACCTTCTACGGGCAGTTTTGAAACTTTGGGGTATGTGCGTGCATACACACACACACACACACACACACACACACACAGCATTTTAATCCATCTCTGCGTACCATGTTGTACTGAGGAGGGATGAGAAACTCCAGTTATGTTCATCTAGAGAGTAAACATAGGTGTGAGAGGCAGAAACCAACAGAAAGAACAAGAGCAAAATATCAGTGTAGGATAACTTCCATCTTAATCCAGTTAACATGTGTGTGTATAATTTTAAAAAATTATTATTACAATGTGAAAACAATTTGATAATTTGAAGTATTAGTCACTGTAATGGACTAAATCTGCAGCTCCCCTCAATCCCCTCAGAGCTTTGTAATGAGCTTCAGTGGTTCGTTTCACTGCTCTAATGCTGTCATTTCCAGTAAAAAAGCTCTTAAAACTTTGCTGCACACTAACTAATAAACACCACAGAGGGGCACTGGACAGTTACACACACAGAAATGTGAATTTAAAAAGAGGAAATGTTGAATATTATCCTGAATAAAGCTAATGTCACTATGAAACTGCTGGATGTGTCCGTTCTGGTTCTTTCTCTGGTTTGGCCAAAAACTATTCAAAAAATCAGAAAAAAGAAACTGAACTCTCACTCCTGATAACATGCATGCAAAGACCGGTTGATGCCTGACTTTCCCAGTGTACTTTTGTCTTTTTGCTGCACATGGTTGGAAAAAGACAGATCTACATCTGCTGATCTTATCTGCTGCTGCTGTTGCTTTACTCCTTTGTAATTGTTTCAGGTATCCAAACATAGATATAAACATTCCTGGGTGCACCGATAAATACGTTCCTGCAGATCTTTCAGCTGCACATCCATGATATGAATTTCCTATGGATGCACTGGAATCATAAAGAAATACATTCAAGTCATGGTTTTTCACTCTCTATCTGCATTTAATTATTAGTTATTATTATTATTATTAATCTGTGGCTCTCTTGAACATTGTTAGCATGTTCAGGTAGACACTGGCATTTTAATGTCAGTTGGTATCAAGGAGCTCAAAGCGTGCCAGTAAATAATCCCTCATACAATTACACCTCCAGCAGCAGCCTGAACCACTGTTACAAGGCAGAATGGATTCATGCTTTTATGTTATTTATGCTTCTGACCTTACTTTCTGAATGCTGCAGGAGAAACAGAGACTGATCACACTAGAAAATATTTTCAGATTTTCTGTTGTCCAACTTCGGTGAGCCTGTGTGAATTGTAGCCTCGGTTTAATGTTAACATACAGGACAGCTATATGTTCATTTCTCTTTTTCAGACCATTTCAGACTAATCACCTTTCTTCCTCATTCTGATACTCAGTTTGAATTCAGCAGGTCTTCTTGACCATGTCTACATGTAATTGGCTGATTACATATTTGCATTAACAAGTAGATGAACAGGTGTACCTGTATGATATTTATTACTGTTGGATGATTAAAACCAGTAAAAAACATTAGCATTAGGTAAACTGACATTTTTTTACACCTTTAACAATGAGCAAGGAGGGCATCTGGTGGGTGGACTTTTTTCATCCACAAATTTGAAACTGATGTCCCATTTTTTTCCTAACAAAATCCCACTGTCACTAAAAATATTATTAAATCGTAGTTGTTGCTGTGCAGGTGGACGGACTGTCCTTGCTGACTGCATCGATCTCTTACTGGCTGAGGAAAGCCCTTCGGGATGTTCCTCATGTTCTGGTGGCTACTAACTTCCACAGTGTGGTGCAGCTGAGTTTGTTACCATCCTCGGCCCTGCTGTCTCTTCTGGTACTGAGAAACTTTGAGAGTGATTAAAAAAAACCTTCTGTAAAGTTTAAAAATGGTAAACTAAAGTGCTACAGAAAAATGTTTAGAACGGAAACATCCAAATGGCCGATTAAGTAATAAAATTTGTTTCACCTCATTTCACAAGTATGACTAATCATTTGGGTGTATGTGTGCGTCTGGTATGTGTGTTTGTGTGTGTTAGACCCTAGAGACAGCAGTGGACGGAGATGAGTTGGTGTTTTTGTACCAACTAAAGGAAGGGATCTGCCAGTCCAGCTATGCTGCCAACATTGCTACACTGGCGGGCCTGCCAACTTCCCTTGTACAGAGAGCAGTGGAGGTAAACACACACACACACGCACACATACAGAAATAGGCTGACAGACTGACTGATTTTTGTGTTTGTTAAGGTGTCTGAGCTGTACAGGGTAGGAAGGCCCATCAAACGGACTGAAAAAGCATCCTTGGAAGAAGAGACAAAGAGGTTTGCTAAACTTAAGCAGCACAAAGTGACACACAGTTAAAGCAGTGTGTGAAATGTTTCTGTTTGTGGGTAACAGATGCCAGTTTGTTGTGGAGAAGTTCCTTAGCTTGAACCTGGAGGACAAAGATTTGGATGTGCAGAGGTTCTTGAAGGAAGAGCTCCTGCCCTCTGCTGGAGATCTGCTAAACCGCAGCTGAATGCTTCTGGCTTTGCGGCAAACGCGCTTCTGTACCACGTGGTCAGTCTGTTCATTCATTCCTAAATGTTTTGGGTTGGTGTTGGAAGAACGCCGGGGAAAAATACATAATGACACAACCTTTATTCCAAGAAACACTGAAACTTGTGTTGTAGCAAAAAAGACAAAAAAACAAAAACAGCACAGTTTTATATGTTTAAGTACCGTATTCACACTTCAAAAATATGAAATGTAACACCAAACAGCGTTTCTATAATATATAATAAATGATCTTTTATGCTTTAATTATCCAATGTCTTCTTAGTCAGTCATAAAAAAGTTCTGTAAATCTGGCGGTTTTTCTTCACCGTATGGTTGAAGTCCTTTCAGCATCACATCACACAGTCTGTAATAAATAATAAACAAGTTCACTTTATTATGATGACGCTGATTCTTCAGTAAACCAAGTGGTTAGAGCCACTGTGATATACATCAGTGCACAGATGGAAAGTTTGCTCGCTGAGTTGCAGAAGGGCGTGTCGCAACAGTGTTTGGTCATCACAAAGATGGTGTTGTTTGGAAAGATCTCGAAGGTCGTCTCCACCTCGCACTCCTCTGCCTGGGTACACCCCAGCATCTTTATATCCAAAGCATCAGCTGGGGAGACAGGGCAGTAGCATAGAGCCATGATCAGTGTGTATTTTATAGCCAATAACCTTCACATCATGTCTTGTATTCTTCGTATAATGTTTGGTAAACACACACCTGCCCTCCCCCGGCCTGTGTAGCAGCGCTCCCCGAGATTGCATTTGGTTTCAGTCGTGTAGCAGGCATCCCAGAAGCCTAAATCACAGCGGAAGCACTCCAGATGCTCCTCCTCCGCTTCGAATGCCACTGACTCCATGAGCTGCTCTACCTGCTCCTTTTCCTCACCTGAGCCCAAAGAATAACACTGAATGCACAATGATTTTTACTGAATGTGCTGCTAAAGGAGATTCTTCTGAACAACTTAAAATGGAAATGGTCCTTTATGGGGACAGCTGACAAACAACAGCTGACAAACAACAGCATAAATAATAAAACTATATAACAATAACTACGATTTAATAATATTTTTAGTGACAGTGGGATTCTGTTAGGGAAAAAATGGGACATCAGTTTCATAACAATAAAAATATATACTTTTTTTTAACATTTGGGTAAATGTTTTCAAGTGTAAACACATTTTAAACAACCAAAAATAACAGGAAAATGGAAAGACATTGATTACATGCCAAACAACCATTGTTAAGCATGAAGTCGTCGCCAAAGATCTATGAATGTGGCTGATACAGAAAATGCAGATTTCTTATCCTTTATTTAAATTTGCATAAGCAAATAAGCACCACTGGTAAATCTGGTAACCAGGACACTGAACATAATCAGGTAACAGTAAAGAGAGACTCAAATACAGGTAAGAACAGAAAAAATGAAGTTATAAACAGGCTAAAGTTAATAAAATACTTTAGGTTTCTCAGATTTTATGTAATAGTCTTTTTGGCACATTAATATTCAGGGTTGCTGGATGTGTGAAGTACTGCAGCACTGTTACAGGACATCAAGCCAAAGTCATGGCCAGCAAACTGCTGAGCACTTGAGCATCTCAGAAATGCTTTGTTTATTCTGCAGCAGTCTGGAATTTGTTTCTTGAGTGCGTTATTCAGGGAGTGCTCCAAGTCATAGGGCAGCATCATGTTTGTATTAACCGCACAGATACTGGGATTAATGGAAAACTTCAGCAGGGAAACATAATGCAGGCAGGGGACAATACCTCAGTTATTCCTACTGTGATGTACTCCTCGAGCCCTCCGAATCATGTCACTAGTTTTAAAAGATTTTCTTAGTGTCCATAAAACAAAACTGAAAATTGTTAATAAGCTTATCATCAGTGTCCTGTTTTATTCTAAAGATCACCTTTTAGGAGACAACAGAATATCATGATATAGGGAGCTTTGGCTGCCAAATGGCTGACTTTAGTGCTGCGATTGGCTGCTGTCGGCAAAAGGGACTAATCTCTTCCTCGGAGTAATCGGATGCATTTTGGTGAGACAATCCTTATCCCCTATCATCTTGTTAACCCAGTGCTAGCTCAGGTGAATGAGCAAAACAAAAGAGTACCGAGGTGGGGGGTCATTATGAGGAAGGGCCAGGCTTACTTTTTATAACCTAAGGTCCAAAGTCCACTCTTATTCAACAGTTTATGGGGTAAAGCCGGTCTAATACAGCGTAACACAGTCCTATAATAAGTTTTTCCTTAGTGCACATTATAATAGACCTTTTTTTTTTTTTTTTGAGGTTATGGTTTGACTTGAAGGTAATTTTGCAGGATTTTAACCAAACTCTCCTGTTGTTGCATTGTGCAGTGGGTCTCTTTAGGTCCCACCTGTCTGAACCTCTCTAAAACAAAGGTTGGTCACTATTTTATGAAGTAAAGTCCCAAACATTTGTATTTCTATCTTGCCTTACACTGCAGCAGACTGAATACATTTCAGTTTTTCACCAGTTTGAAGCAGTCGTCTTACACTATGGGAATCTGAGGCAGTTTGTGTGATGCTTTATCAGTTAATTTATTTAGTGATAAAATAATGTGCAGATTAATACTTTTTAGTTACAGACCAAATGTATCGCAGGTGATGTTAATCATGGAATTTAACAACTCAAACATTATTGATATGATATAAATAAATGCAGTCATTACAGCCAGTAAGAATCTGACAAGCTATCGGCCAAAAACGCAAATACTTTTCAGGGTCAGCTGTTGGACTCTTAAGTGAAATATAAAGAAAATGTCCTTAAAAAGCATTAGAACACTAAAAATAACACCTGCTATGAACTCGGGTACTCTGTCAGCTTACCTTGAGCAGGTGTGAGCATCATGATGGCAAAAACACACAATATGAGGCCTTTCATTTTGAGCGTGATGCTTCCTCCACCAACTCCACCATGAGGACTGCTGAGGTGGCCGGAGGGTGGAGGGAAATTGGATTAGTAAGGAATGCACCTGTCACCTGCGTGACACCAATCACAGCTGCTAGAAGGGTGCTGACGATCAAACAAGTGACGTTTCTGGAAATAACTGCAGAGATGTGCACTGAAACCTGCAGTTTTTCAAGAGAAGATACAGCATCAGTGTCAAAAATATAACCAAGAGGGTGACACGTGCCTTTGTTTCTAATTAGCAAACTACTTCAAAGGTTAAGATTCCTCCACATGGGTGCAAACCGTGTTTCTGACTTATAACAAAGATTTGTGAGCTGAGCTGAACCCGCCTTTCTGTTTTGACAGCTTTTTACTTTTGAAGTTCCTCAGTAACGGAAATCATTTCACCAACACAGAAACGGTGATCAGAGCTTCTCTCGCTTGTTAAGGAGCAGAGAAATTGAATGAACCTGAGTCAGCGCAGGGTTAAGCAGCTTATAGCCACCCGTCCGTCTGCTCAGATATGTATCAATGCGCGCACACACACACTGGCCTCTCAGAGGAGGGCATTCGATTCAGCTATATTCTCAATGCAGCATTAAGATCTGTGCAGCTGACTTATGTAACACGTGCCACACACACACAACCACACAGAAATACACATGAGAAGATTTATTAAATTGTGTGGCGCTGCAGTGTTTGTATACACATAAATCTGCTGAAGGGATTCCCCCCCGTCCTGTGAATCAATCCCTCTGTAAATGCAACATTTATCTGAAGAGACTTATTTTTGTAATTAACTCAGTGATGTAACTGCGTGACTCACTGCAATGATTCCGAGCATCAAACTTTCTTTTTTAAAAAGAAAGGCTCCAGATTCTGAATTATAAAAGTTTGTTGCCTTACTTTGGATCATGTGGTGGTAAATGTAATATCCTGAAGGCATCTGACAACTTTATGACTCGTATGGAAGATGTAATTTGTGGTGCTTTATTGGATTATGCACACACGCTGCTGTTATTTAGCCTCCTCTCTCTGATTCAGATGGACAAGCAGAAGTAGCACCTGATGTGTAGTGTAACACAATACGAACCCCATTGCACCACAAACTGCAGGCTCCCAAAATCACAATGCGGTCGAATAAAAAGCTCTGAATAAAAACGTTTGCAGGGGGAAGGTTTTATTGCAACACTGTTGTGTGCTTGGTTTACTTAAAATTGAAAAACAAAAGCCCAAAAAAAACAACAACAAACTGGCAGTCGAGTGCAGCATGACAATGTGCAGATTAAATGGTAATAAAAGTTGTAAGTTACAGCTCTACGGTGCATCGTCTTTCCCTCCAAATGTAAACACATCGGATCATCTCACGCACTGCAAAGCACTCGCGCAGCCGACGTGTGAGAAGAGAGCGAACACAGAGCTGCTTTTCTGAGAGGCTGCTTGCAGCATGTTGCAAGATTCAGACGCGTCCCTCCCCCCACCCCCCGACCACCACCAGCTCATCTCTGCAGCTGAATATACAGCCAGCATACTGTACCTACACAAAAGCCCTCCATTGAGTCTGTGTGTGTGTGTGTGTGTGTGTGTGTGAGACACACAGATGGGTGCTGCTTTTAAGTGAGTGAAATGTGTGGCTGCAAATTACTGTAGACTGCTCAGACTTCGGTCGTCGCCTGGATCCCAGCATGGGCCGAAACAAGGAAATACTCAGCAGTCCTACAGCACCTATAAAACCCTTCACACTGATCCCCAGTGTAATTAAAGACTGGAGGAGAAAATGCTGGCGATAATTAAAATTAAACCCCCTCCTCTTCCGCCTCCTCCTCTTCCCTGTTCAAACATTCTCACTTTGGCTTAATTGTAGCTGCTAACATTTCCCTCTGCATTGTTTTGCCCTATTTTTTTTCGCCACTTTTCGGCTTTTGCGGGAGCCAAGGATGGAGACGGAGGATGGAGTATTTGAATAAAGCGTGGGAATTGGATGATAAGAGAGGAGATGAAAGGTCGTGATGGGTGGGAGAGGGAGGCTTCAATTACTCCACTCGCAGGACTTGTTTTTCTCACTTAAGCTACGTCAGGAATAACTCATAACAGCCTCACCAGATTTTTTTTTTGTGTCTTTTTTGTGTCAAGTTGTTGCTCTTTTTCTTTCCATAGAGCCTGTGATTGAAAATCTTTAAGATCTCACCTCGCCGCGGCTGAGAAAAAGGAAAAAACTGAGCAGCTGACAGTAGGAATTTAAAAAGAAATGTTGAATTACAGTAAAAAGAAAAAAAAAGATCCTGCATGTGTGCAGAGCACCAGCTGGTATTTATAGAGTGGCTGTAGGTGTCGAGTGAGAGGAGTGTGGCCTTATGTGCTTCTCTTGTTTGTACCAAGACACAATTTCCTCAGATAAAGAGCAGATTTCACTTATGTATGAGATAAGATAAAGACTTATTTGAAACCTAATCTGGCTCATCCTCTTTTACTGAACCTCTCCAGCAAGCAAATGTAGACATCTGCAGAGAAGCAGAAGGAGGGAGAGGGGAGAGGAGACGGAGTCCATCTCCCAGTATGGCACCCAAATAACTTTTCAGCAAACCTCCTCACGTCCTAATATGGTCAATCCAGTGGTGGCTTTAGGGATTTTTGGGCACGGTTGAGTTCAAAGACAACAAGATTGTGAGTTGACATCAAACAGCACAGCTCCAATCTTTCAAATGTGGGTGAGTCAGAGAGCGATGTAGGACAAAAACACCCTTCACAGACAGTGACTCAGAGCAACTGCGCCATTCGGAGGCACTATAACATACCCAAAAAACATTTCATCTGTTTATTGAGGACTGCATAGTCTTGTGTATCTGCACGTGAAACCTTTAAGTGTGTCTCATCATGCATATTTCATGAGACAGTGGAAGGGGGGGGAGGCAGCATGGGGTTCAGAGTTGAGGCGGCACAGAAGGGTCTGTCCGTACGTTGAAGTTGATTTCACTAGAGTTGCAGGAGTCTGAGAAGACGGGGGAGTGAGAGATGGACAGGCAGGGGGAGGAAGGGTGAGGAGTTGGCTCCTGGTGGTGCAGAACTCGGGCCAGCAGGGTTGACCTTCCTTCCTTCTCCTCCTCATTCCTGTCTTCGTCCTCTTTATCTTTACCTTGTGCGTCCGGAGGAGGTGGCTCTGAGGCTCTGCTGCTAATGCTGTGTCTGTTCAAATGAGGAAGAGGAGGGTCTGAGAGGGGGAGTATGTGGGCTGGAGCGGCCCAGGATCCCTGTTCTCCTTCTTTACACTCCCACTGCTCTTGGCACCCGAAGCTGGGCTGCTCTTGGGAATCTTCACAAAAGCTTCCTCCCTTCAGATCCTCCAGGTCGTCAGGTTTCTCTCGCCTGCAGACTTCACGGTCCCGGTTCTCGTACAGCAGCGTGGCGGCGCAGATGAAGATGAAGAGGCCAACTCCCATTACCACGGGGCCAGCCAGTTTCATCCTGTCCACGGGGGTGGTGCCACGCCGCCCCACGGGCTTCGGTTCTGCAGAGACGTAGCCCGCCACTGCAACACTCATCCCCACCAGCACCACCATTACACCCAGCAGGAGCCACCAACCTGGGGCAGAAGCCAGGGGCAGTTTGGTTTGGAGGGCTTTGCTTTTCCTCAGGTGTCTGTGGCACTCCGGGGGGCAGGCAGGTGAGGAGTGGGAAGAGTGGGAAGAGGCAGGACTGCAGACTGGAGTGTCAGCTGTCATCGTCTGGATTCAGACTGAGAGGAGAGGAGAGAGGCATCAGAAAATAAAGGAATGAAACATGAAAGCGCTGGATGCAGCATCAGGAGAGCGCTGGAGGTGTTGGGGAGAAGACAGTTTAGCCTGCACCGCACACAACAGGAAATAGCTGCTTTAATAAGACATGTGGCTCAGTTAATGAGATGCCGAGCTTCCCGCAACTCCGCTGGTGTCTCTGAGGAGCTCATGAACCACCACCATCAATGACTGACCCCGTTCAAGACCTTATGATTTCACTTCACGATCTCACTGCGGCTAAAAAACAAACTGGAGTCACATCCCTGCGCTAACTGCTCCAACTGAACTCATAATTTATTCCTCCCCCCGACTCTGCCCGAGGCAAGTGGACCTAACCGGGGGATCCGAACGCAGATGATCAAGTTTGCTTTTACGCATCCGTGTTAAACAGAATATTTTGAGTCATTTTGCTCGACAGCACTGTTGCTCACTACACCAATCCACTTCCTGCTGTTTTAACGCAGTGTGTGTGCAGTCGGAGTGGGTACTTGCCTTGTTTTGGACGTAAATCCGAAGCAGAAACTGGCTCCTCGGCATTATCAAAATAAATAGAGCTGACTTATTCCTCCCACTCCTCCACTTTGATCCGGAGGATTCCGTACTTTAACCCAATTCCTCCTCACATGAAGACCTTTTTCATCCATGGATTGACTGCGCGTGCCGCGCGGAAACGGAGCCTGAAACGAGGCTTATATAGTAAAATAAGAGTCTTGATAAAAGTGGTGCAAAGCTGCTCTGCCTCTCCGTCTCTGCGCTGCTTGTGCGTCTGTGCAGCCCGTGTTCCGATATGTGTGTATGTGTGTGTGCGTGTGTGTGTGTGAAGAGGAGGGGTCGTGGGAATCTCTGGCTGGTCCAGGCCAGTCCCACGGTAAATTATTCTCTGCGATCATCACCACCCATCAAGAAGTTTTTCTAAGTGCATAAAATACAAAAATTGCAGAAACGTACCCTCCCATAATAAAATGAGCACAGATATATAGATAGAGAGACTTTTTGTTCTAGGTGGGATTTTCTTGTTAAGGAGACCCTGGAAAAATGTGTGTGTCTATATACAGTTAGGCCCATCATTTTTAGGACAAGGACACGTTTTTTGTAGTTTTCCTTTTGCACACCACCACTCTATATTTTACATCAAAGATGTGACTGAAGCGCAGACTTTAATCAAGCGGGGCTTTTTTGGTTTTGTTTTGTTAATGTAGCATAACGTGTTTAGAATTTACAGGATTTATGCACAGTCCCCTGTTTTCAGAGCATCGTGTGTAATTGTACAATTGACTTTTAAGCAGTTTAATGTCCAGGTAAGGTCTGTCCCTTTGTTGTTTCATGACAAATGGAGCAAGCTTAACATCTGAAGTTGATTCAAAGTGTTACATTTATATTTTACAGCTTTTCATTATAATTTTAAATTCGAGGCTAAAATGGATGTCAGTGCAAGTGAGCGAGGACATCAAGCTTACATAAATAACCTTATTAGAGAGACAGCAAAACATTTTAGGAGAGGACAAAACAACAACCTGGAACACCCTTGAAAAGAAGAAAGGCCTGAAAGACAAGACAACTCAAGGGCATGATGACTGAGTTATTTCCATAGTTAACAAAAGCAACTTCACAACATCTAACCGAGTCAGGAACACTCTTGAGGATGTAGGTATATCATTGCCATGGTCCAGGATCAAGAGACAGCTTCATGAATGGAAATGCAGGAGAGAAACGGCTCATGATCTGAAGCGGACCACTGTCAAACACGGTGGAGGTAGTGTTATGGCATGTGCATATGTATGCCTGTGGAAGTGAGTCACCAGTGTTTAATGCGGATGTGACTGCTGATATAAGCAGCAGGATGAATTTTGAAGAATACTCTGTGCTCAGATTCAGCCAAATGCTGCAAAACTGATTGGACACACCTCACAGTGCAAAGGGAACATGACTCAAAGAAAACTGCAAAAGAAACGCAAGAGTCTCTAAGGCAAAGACATGGGACATTATTCAGTGGCCAAGTCAGTCACCTGATTTCTGTCCAACAGAGCTGCTTTTCATTTCATTAAATGCAAAACTGAATTCAGACAGACCCGCAAACAAGAAGGTGTCTGCAGTAAAAGGCCTGCCCGAGGCTTCAAAAGATTACAAACAGTCCTCAGATTTAAAATTAAGTTAGTTAGCCAAATTACTTTCAAGCCTCTGAAAATTGGGGGAATGTGTATAAAATGGCTGTAAATCCTAAAATGAGTTTTATTAAAGCAGCTTATTTAAACTTGAAACATTGCACTTCAGTCACATTTTGACTGTTTAAATTAAAATGCACTGAAACTAACAAAACTTTGTAATTGTCCAAAAAATTACAGACCTAACTTTATGCATCCTGCTCCAATTAAGTGCCCCTTACTTAATTAAACACAAACAAACAAAATAATCAATGTCCAAACTGTCCAAATGCTTAACACCTTTAAGCATTTAAGCCCAGATTTCCTAGCTAGTCCATCTTGTTAGTGGTAACTTGCGTTGTGGATAAGGTCAAACAAAAACGGTTTAAACTTGTGAAAATCTATTCAGGATATAAATATGGGGGGTTTCAGGTCCATTTTGTAAGCGATGGCTCCATTTGTGGTGAAGATAGAATGAGTCACACCGGGCCAACAGATGTAGCTTTTACATCACCACAAACACATTTTGTTTCATCCACTCAGAGCTCATCTGCAGTTCTTCACAGCTTAGATGAAAACAGGAATATAAGTATTAAAGATACCTGAAAGCTTCTGGGTTACGAGTGTAAGATTCAGGCCATGCGCAGCAGTGGTCTTGTGTGACTTTCAGCCTGCTGCCGATGTGCCACATGTGTTTCAATTAGCAATCTGGTTTGTGGGTAAGTTTGCATGTGGGCCATATGTGGGCAAGACACAGGAAGTGAGTTCTAGGTTTGGGGGCCACTGTGGCCTGACTGTGACCTGCCTGCAGCATGATGTTACGGATGGCTCTGCCTCTTGACCAAATGTTTTTCTCTGACTTTTTAAAAAAGTACCTTAAACAGGAAACAGATGCTTTGATGTTCCAGTTCTTACTCTCTGCGTTAATTTTCCATCACAGACTTGAAAAGTCTGGAGCGAATTTACTGAGTAATTACGATGCCACTTGCATTTTTCACATCTGCAGCTTAATTAATGTAACATACAGAAATAAATGGAAGTTAATGACTGCATGGCACAAAAACACAGCATGCAAACAATGTTTACCACAGCCTGAAAACACATATCCAGTGAACATCAACAGATCAAACTTCAAATAAATAAAAAAAAATGCACACCTATATAGTCTGCAAGTGATTTCTTAGGTACAGCCGTTCAGCTGCTCTTTTAATGCAAATATAGGATCAGGCAATCACATTGGCAGCAACTCACTGCGTTTAGGCATGTAGACACGATCAAGACTGTGGAAGAAATATAATTTAAGCAACTCTGGACGTGACACAGTTGTTGACGTCAGACGGGCTGCTTTATTTATTTCAAACTGCTGATCTGCTGGGATTTTTCCACACAACCATCTGTAGAGTTTACAGAGAATGATCTGAGAAAGGAGAAAATATCCAGTGAGCAGCAGTTCTCCGGGTGAAAGCTCACACCAGGTGCCCCTGCTCTCAACTGAGTTCTAGGTTTGTGGGCCATTGAGACCTGACTGCAGCGTGATGTTACGGATGGCTCTGCCAAATGTGATCAAATTTATCTCTTAGATTTTAAAAAAACAATAACTTAAACAAGATGTTCCAGTTCTTACTGACTCTGCATTAAATTTCCATCACAGATTTGAAAAGTCTGGAGCAAATTTACTGAATAATTACGATGCCACTGACATTTGACATTGTCGACGAAGAACAAAAACCTGAAGCTACATAGTTCACGTGGGATCAGTGGTCTGATGAGTCTCGATTTCTGCTGCAACAGCCTGATGCCGAGGTCAGAATTTGGTGTAAACAACATGAAAGCATGGATCCATCCTGCCTTGTAGCAATGCTTCAGCCTGGCATTGGTCCCATTGTGAGGCTGGCATTTTTGTGGCCTCTTGGTACCAACTGAGCATCATTTCAATGGCACAGCCTACCTGAGTGTTGTTGACCACATTGTAACTTTCATACAACACACCATATTCTAAGGCCCAAATAATAAATATGTTTCTTGAACATAATGAGTTCACAAACAGCGCCTGTAGAATATGGTGGGAACAGGGGATTCACAGCTGACCAATCTGCAGCAACTGTGTGATGCTGTCATGTTAATATGGACTAAAATCTCTAAGGAATGTTTCCAGCACCTTGTTGAATCTGTGCCATTAAAATAAAAAAAAGGGGTCCAACCTGGTACTAGCTCTGTGAGTGTAGAGCAGTTTTAGATTGTCTGTGCAAGTGTGTGGGAGAGGGTGAAATGTCCAGAGTCAAATGAGGACAGCCGATAGTGTGCATCTCATTTATTTTCACCCATTCAGACTTTCCAAACAGCCAGAGCTACCTCGGAGCCAGAATGGCGTACCATTAACCCCTTAAATTACAATACATAAATAAAAGCTGTTTGCATATAAACAGTTGCTGATGTACACATTCCAACTTGCTGAAGTACACGCAGATTTACAAGGACACTGAACATGTTTGTTGTGGGTGTTTTCTTTCCTCTTTCTCCAGAACTATGAAGCAAGGCTCTTTTTTTGTGGGTTTTTTTTTTTAAAGTTTACTGCCACAGCGTCCTCTCCTGTAGAGAAGCTTTTGCATATCCAAACAGGAGTAAACTCTGGTAGCTGTATATTATTTACACTGTAAAAAGACCAGAGGTTAATCTGAACCAAGAACATTGTGACCAGAAACAACAAAACTGAAAGCTGTGTTTAACATTCATATTCATGGAGCGTTCCCAAAAAAAAACAAGTAGAAGAACAGAGCTTGTTCCACCTTAAAAAAAACAAACTCCAAGCTTCCTTAATTCAACAGTTAGCCCTTGGCCCTGTTTGTCAAAAACTCCCCCCCCCCCCGCAATGACCAACCAACACAAGCGGGACAGTAGGAAATTGCATCCTCACTTCTCAAACACACTTTTACACACTCGTACACAAACACGTATTTTTAACCATCCCTCCCTCCCTCCTCATTCAACTTAAACTCCAAATTCACTCACGCCCTTTGGGCCCGTGGAGTGGCCCTCTTTCTCCATCTACAGGAGAAAAGATGAACTACATAGTGCTTCTGCTCCACTGAATTTCACATTTAAAAATGTCCCACCGCCTCACGATTGTATTCTGCAGCTTAAACAACAAACAAACAAACAAACAAAAGAAAAAACAAACAAACAACGTGTGTTCTCAAGTAAGTCGCAACACAAAAAACGTTTCATTACAGCTCAGATTTTAAAAAAATGCAACAGAACTGTGACGCAAAATCCAATTTGTTGGCTGTACAATGTTAAGAAATCTTGAAGGTGCTTGTAGCTTCTTCTTCTCCTCCTTTTTTGTTTTTTTTTAAAGAGTCAGTAAACAAACACGTTATAAGTTAAGGATTCCTCGGGGTATGATGAAAAACTCTCCCTCAGGCTGACCAGGGCCGTCCATCATGGAGAGAGGAGGGAGGAGAGATGGACGTTTTTTTGAGATGATGACTTCCGCTTGTTTCTCTTGTGTAGCTGTACCGTCACAGAGCTCAACAAGTTAAACTTGTTCTGGACATTTAAAAAAAACAAAACAAACAAAGTCTTTACTCGAGCGTCGAGGAACAAGTCCCACTGGAGTCGTGTTCTACTCTTCATCGGCGTTCTTCAACATGAGGATGGAGTTGAAGATCTTCAGAGCGGGTCCTAACTTGATTGACAGGATCTTGACGATGTCTGCTTGTGTGAGCAGCAGGAAGGCCTCGCCATCGATTTGCTGAAGAGGAAAAAAATCAAGTAAAGGCTTTGTTACTTTAAAAGAATTTCTATTGTACGCTGGTTGACGCACAAACAGTATGAACACAGAACACCTCCAATACTAGAAGCACTAGGAGGGGTCAAACCAACAGCAACACTTCTTAACTTTTAAAGTACGATTTGACAAAATAAGTATTTAGGATCAACCTTTAGGTGTTATGAGTTTTGTCAAAGATTTTGATTGTTTCACTACAGGTCATGAAGTTAAAATACACATCAGGATAATCTGATAAGCAAAAAGAAATAATGATCAACTTAACAGCTAAAACTTCTAAAAAAATGCAATTATTACAAAGAAGAAGATGCAGATAGAAGAGAAGAAATAAAAAATCAAAAATGCAATAAATAAACAAATAAATAATTATTTATTTATAAATGAATGAATGAAGTACCTTGTCCCCAGGTGACCGGGCAAGCTCATAAATGATTTAACTTCTAATGTAAAGTCTGCTGTGTTTACAAGAAACGATTGATAGCCAGCGTTAACAAAGCAGGCCATAGAAAGTCGCCAGCATCACTGAGGGGGGAAGATCGCACCCCTAACAAAGTGTCTGCACTGAGCCAGGTTTTCCTCTCATAGCGACGAGGTTTGCTGGAGAGTCTGTTTATTTGCTGTTTACGTGTCAGAAACTGTTTGGTAAACGTAATTTTTCAGACAGTTTTGAGCGATACTATGGACAGTGAAGTTAGCATAAACACCAGGAACACTGGAAAGTCTGGTTGTTCTCGACTGCATCGCTGTTTGGCTGTTTTTGTACAGCTGGGATTCTCGGTCTGCTTCGCGTGCTGGCTTTTTTCCCATGCGGCGTCGCTTTTGTGTAAACAGCAAAATTCAGCCGAGCAACATTTTGAAAAGTACATCTGAAAATTGAAAGTCTGAACCTGGAAATTGTTTCCACTGACAGTCACTTAAATCAGTCTCACTGATCAGCCTTTCAGAGTTCCCCATCTTAAAGTTTGTTAAACCTGCTTTCTGTCTTACTGTAGCTGTGATATTTAAATAAAGTTAAACAAAACAAAATTAAACATCAAAAAAAGCTCATTTTAGAGAACAAACGTGGCTGACATTTTTATTGTTTTATAAAAATCACTAAGGGTTTGTTTGCCATTGGTTAACGTGCAACGTAAATCTGAACTAGCACAGGGATTTACATTAGTGGACATATGAATTGTTTTGGAAGCACTAAAACTGAGGCTCTTTTTTCTCTCATTTTTCAGTAGAACCTTAAATTTATGAAAATATATGCAAGATGAAAAAGCTGGAGACTGCATGAAATTATGCAGTCAGCAAAAAGGTGTCTGAGAAGACTGCAAACCATGACTGATGCAAAAGAACAACATCTACGATTTAATGTGCAGCTATTTTTAAGCCAGCTTTACGCCAGACCACACACACACACACACACAAACACACCACACACACACACACACACACACACACACACACACACACACACACACTAAACTGATGAAGTTGCTTATTGCTGCCACTTGTATTCCCTTGTTTATTTATTTATTTATTTATGCATGCATGCTTTCTTCACATGTTCTCAAATGCAAAATTAGGACCTCTCACTTGTTCCCTTCACAGGAAATGAGCGAGAGCCGAAGCAGCTGTTGGATTAGAGAATAACCTCATTCATGTCAGCAGGGAAATACACACGTTTGATATTCTGAACAAGGCTAGGAAGTAATGGGAAAGCTAAACTGATTGAACCTCGGTCAGTTAGGTATTGTCCGAAGTCCTTAGTTGATTAATTACTCAGTTAAATAACATATAAGGACTGATCCAGAAAAAAAAAAAGAATAACCTTCAACAGCATCTGCCTCACATCCAAAGCAAGTTCTAAATTGATTTGTCTAATGATAAAGCATTAAACAATAATCAAGAATGAGCAGTTATTAGCTAAAGCCCTGTTTAAAGCAGTTTTCTGTGCTGGGCACCAGCATCTCAACGCAAAACAAATGAGCGTGTACTTCTTACAGAAAGGTTGTGTGGGCGAGAGCCAAAACATCCACGACCATTATCCCACTCTAGTAATGTAAAATACAGTGGGTGGATGAGCAGGCAGCCACATGCCACACGGCCCGAGTGCATCAGCTCAGGTTCGAGTCCAACCCGTGGCCCTTTGCTCCCTCTCTCTCTCCCCACTTTCCTGTCTGTCTTCACTGCTTCACTATCCAATAAAGACAAAACACCAAAAAATTACGTAGAGGGAAAAAAAGAGGCTATAATTCGCTGGAAATCAACCGATGCTGAATCCGCCAAAATAAGGTTTATCTAATTCTAATTCTGTTTTGGTGATCTCCTTGGCTCCCTGTTTCACTGTATGTGTTTACACACTAAGAGAAAACATACACACACACACACACACACAGATTGAAACAGGGAGCAGAAGACACCAGTAAAACAACACACTACACAAGTGCACATAAATCAGTTAGGAGGTTGGGACTGCTTCTCCTCCTCCCATGCAAGCCTCTGCACGTCCTCCTTCACTACATCCATGATCTCTTTCTGAGGTCTTCCTCTTTTCCTCCTGCCTTGCAGTCCTTATTCAACAGCCTTTGTCCAGTCTGTCTACTGTCCCTCCTCTGCTACATCTCCAAACCATCTCAGCCTTGCTGCTCTAACTCTGTCTCCAACCGCTCCGCCTTCAGGTCTCTCCCAGTGAAATCTTAACATTACCAGCTTGCCCTCCTGTCTTTTTTTCTGAGCCACCCTCATACGTCACAGCAGGTCTCAGCACCTCTTGTAAAGCCTCCCACTTCACTCTTACATGGATCCCCTACATAAAACACATTTTAATTTCAAACTGTTCTGGAATATCTGCTGAACTCTCCAGACTACACTCTGTAGTGATTCCGCTGAATTATGTTCTGTGATGGCATGTGTGATGGTACTGTACCCTACATGCAAAAAAACAAAACCCCCAAAAACTCAGCTTTGCTTTCTTAGATGAATTATCAATAATACATCTTGACAATAATCAGAGCCATGATCAGCTACTTCTTCAGTGACTCCATCGTACTGCAGACAAAAGTCCAACTGCAGTAAGCAAAGTCTGTCCCTGTTGTGCTCTGAGGCCTCAGTGAACTTGGTGTAGCAGCACATGGGTCAGTTCTCCATCTGCTGCAGGTTCTGGTTAGTTTCCCTCCAGCTCACAGAGCATCATCCACACTGGGGAGGTGGGAATTTTTCTGACCGCACGAGAAGAGACTTTCTACAGAGCCAGCTGACTGATATTGATGACAGTGGCTAATTAGCCCGCCAACAGTGTAACAAAAGACGTGAAGGGACGGAGCCTGCCTGTTAGTGGTGGCTCAACTTTAAAAATAAAAGTGAGCGGACTGTCTGCTAGCACTTCGATTGCAGAGGCATCGATCCTTCAGAAGTTTCAGTGTACATGCCATGTGGCTTTTACTTTCACTCTCACTTCTTTTTGCAAACCATCCTGAAGTGCTTACCTCTGTTTTAAATGTAGCAGCGTGTTCTTTGCACCCTGGAAGCCCTTTGACAAAACCAGCCACCTGAAGAACAAAGAAAATAAACATACAGAAAACAGCTTCAGACAAACGCAGGATGTCGATCAATGCGTGTTTATGTACTGATCGTGATTCTTTACATGCCTCTATTGACCCTCAATCGTTCACCTGACTGCCAAAATGAAGGCTCCAGCTCACCGCGACACCCAGAAAAGCCCTTACTGAATATTCATGCACAGTTGCGGTCTCCCTGAACAACTAGCCGCCTTCATGTTGGATGAGTGGATTCAGAGTTTGTGTGCCTGCTTTTCTTGTGTTTACACAGTCTGAGTGTCTAAGCATGTCTAACCTCCTCGGCACTCCAAGTGGCCACTCTCTTGGCAGTCAGCCCCAGGACCTCAGGCAGCAGCTGGCAGTGTTTGTCCCAGCAAAGAGCCACCCGATGGGGAGGCGAGGCAGAGATGCCGGGGGAGAACACCGACTCGTGGAGGGCCTGCTGGAGGGAGATGGCCTCTGGAGAGGCTGAGGAGAGTTAAGAGGAGTCAGTGGGAGGAAGTGAGGGTGTGAGGTACGATTCCTTCTGCACTTTTTCCTCGCTTACCTTTACTATCGCCAATCTCCTCTTTGACATAATGCATTTTTAGGTATTTGGGAACTGGAGCTGTCCTGAAATGAAGACCAACGACAGAATGACTCCTTGAAACAAACAAATCATATCAGGCGCAGCGTAGTGTGAGGCTATCTTGAGCGACAGGTACCGTTTAGGCCTTGTTCCATTGTGGCTTTGCTCAGTGGCTCCACTCAGTGCCTCTGCCTGGCTACTGCGTCCTGTACGCTCAGCTTCCACCGTCGCCGGTTTCCTAGCAACACAGATAATCATTGCTCAGGTACAAACCACTACATATAGTTGCATGCAAATCCCCTGATATGATAGGAGCTGTTAAAGTATGTCGACAAAGGATTGAACCTGTTCTGGGCGTCCTCCGGTCCTTCAGGTTGATCTTGCGTCGAGGAGTTTTGCGTTGTGTTGTTTGCATTTGGGTCAGGGCGTCGCCCACGAGGATGAGGCCCGCTGAGGGTGGGAGGCCGCTCTCCGCTGAGACGGTCTGGCAGCAAACCCTCTTTGTTCAGATTCACCTCTGAGTAGGGACAGCTCACCTGACTGCACACAGAGACGCAAACATCGCTGGGACACACAGCCTTTATTTTTTTAAAACTCCAGTAAGAGGTTATAACACAGACAACAGAAAGGCAGTTAATATCGCCTCGCCTCGCCTCACCCTCCTACATACAGACAAACACACAAGTAACACATGTAGAGTGCTGGCAGCCCACACAAATAAAAGCAATATTTGAGAGCCTGGAGACGTCTCCTCTTTTAGTTACTGTTAAGACGTGTTTACTACACCTTAATATAACAATATGACATTACCTGACGACTGACTGGACAAACAAAAATGGAAATGGTGATAATTTATTGAAATCCATTTGGAAAGTGCTGCACTTAAGAGTGTTAAAAGTATTTTAGAAACAGGATAGAAAGGCAACACTGCAGCGACTGAGAAACTATGACAAATATTCCCTGAGGTAAACCGGGAGAGCAGTTGGGGAAATGCATAAAACATCTTAAATGAAAATGGAGATGTAAGACATAAGAGTTGCAACAAAAGACGACTGTGAAAAGTTGAGCTACGAACGTGTAGTGAGTCCCATAGCGAGGTCCCCTGATGTGCCCAACGCCGTTGCATCCCGGGGTAGGACATCCTTGTCCTGGAGCAGTCACTAAATCACTGGAGCCTGAAATACACACACGCACACACACACGGGAAACTTAATAAAACTATGCAAACAACCATCCATTCTGAATTCATTATACATTCCTCTTAATGTCTTATCCAAGTAAAATAAAGGCAGAGATCAAGTGTGCTGACTCATCTGTTGAAATTAGAAATCTGGCAACCTCACCCTCAGCACCCAGCAGGACAGACAAGGACAGTCTGTGTGTCTGTGCGTGTGAGTGTGAGAGAGAGTCGTAAAATGTGTCACACCGTTAGGATATTGTAGTGGGTGTCCAGTTTTTTGACACCACCCGACAGGATGCAGATCTGGGCAGTCGGTTTCCACCCAATAGTCGTACTCTGAACTCCAGCCATCAAAGTGGATCTGCAAGAGAAGGAGGGTAAACAAGAATTTAAACAAAGGCTGAGCACAGAAAAAAAAAAATCAAAAAGCATCACCATGAAGAGACATCTCCCACCTTTAGTCTGTGGTCCTCTGTGTCTGCTATAGTGGCAACACGAATGAGCATGGGATTCCTCTTATCAACCGCTTCTACTTTCATCCCAAACTGGAAGCCATGCAGAGGTCGCTGAAAAAACCCCCACAGAATCACATGTCTGTATTTAGACTACTGTAGCACAGTACCGTAAATATCTGCATACTCGTATATCATACCACTTTGAAAGCTCGTGCAGGAGCTGCCTGTGTGCCCGTCTCTTCCAGGTATTTCTCCCAAGAGAAACTCTTTGGTTCCTTACATTCTAAGGAGAGGAGATAAAGACTCATTAGGTGCACTGGATACTGCAGACAGACACCATGTAAACAAAGCCATTTCTACAGGTGTAACAACAACACCCAGCAGGTTAGAAATAGGTGGCAACATGGGGATCTACAGGAAATTACATCTTACTATTAATACACTTAGCATGAGCACATTTACTTTCTACAGAATAATTCATCCGTGGCTTTGTTATCAGATTTTACTATTTCAGGATTCAAGATTTTTTTTTTTGTTGTTGCCATTTTTATTTATTTTATTTATCATTTTTTATTTAGCTGGCCCTTAATTAATCATCTCAGATCTTACAAGAGTTGGGTCCTACAGTATATTACATTCATACTGACTCACACGTGTCTTGGTCTGTCTTACCAGCTGGAGTTGTGAGTGTTAGCTCAGCCTCTTCACAGTAACCCACAGGGTGGATGTATGGACTGCTGGCATCACACCTTAAAACAAACACAAGTAAATGGGCGAACGATAACACCGGGGGTTTTGAAAGAAATATTCACCAATAAAAAGGTTCAGAAACTCTTTAGTTACAATGCTAGTCTGTTTATTTAAAATACAGTGGCATGCTGTCTTCAGTAGACAGGCACTAAATTAGCACTGCTTTCACACGGATTCAAATCTCCAGCTGCCCTCAAGGCAGACCGGCGAACATCTCTGGGTAATAATCTCTCACCAGTAATCATGTGTGTCATCCCAGTTGTCAAAATGAATGAGCAGGCGGTTGTCGACAACGGCAGCAATTGTTGCTACACAGATCAAAGCAGGATTCCTCTTGTCAATCGCCTCCAGTTTCATCCCAGCTCTAAACCCGGATGGAGTCACGGACTAAAAACAAACAAACAAACAAAAAGACAATATGCATTTAGCCAATTTAGCCACACGGAGCCAATAAAATCCACTGAATCACAGAACCATCTGACAGCTTCAGATGTGTTTAACACTCACTGTGTTGAGGCTCTTAAAAAGGTGTTTCGGGGCCAGCTGACCCCTGCAGTTCTTCACGTACGTGCTCCAGTTGAACTCTCCATCCTTACAGCCTACAACACGACAAGCCCAGTCAGCTGAGTTGTGACCCAACTTTGTTAAAAAAATAAAAAATAAAAATTCTACCTTGAATTTCATGTTTATTGGTGGTATTCTTGTTACCTTTAGGCAACAATAACTTGTGTCCGTTCTTCTCACACCAGCCGGCTGGTTTCAGATCCCACGAATCGGCATTAGCCCAGAAGTCATAGCATTCTGGATATCCGTCAAAGTGGAGCCTCACCCGGTAACCTTGGATCTGGGATGCAAAGAGAGGTAGGCATCCATGAGTCAAAGTCTTTATCTAGAAAAATGTTATAGCGTATAGGTAACATAGTCAAGCATTAGCATTAGTACCTCCGCAACACTGAGCACACAGAATAGAGACGGGTGTGCCGGGTCAAGTCCCTCCAGCTTCATCCCCACCTTAAAACTGTTCCTGCTTTGTGGAAGCGACTGGTGCTGCAAGAATAATAACAGCATAGGTCAGATAAACAAGACTGTGAGCTTCTACTTAACAGGGTACAAATAGCAGGTATATGCAGGTTTTTACCTCTTTGAATAGTTTAACTGGAGCAGCGACCGCTCTCTCCTCTTCGAGGTAAGAAGGCCAGCTCCATGCACGTTTCTTATTGGGTGGGGCAGCAACTAAAGGTTGGGTGAACAAATAGTGACATATTACGTGTTGTATAAAGTGTATGCCAATGACACACAATGCATATAAAACCATGAATACGTGGATGTATTCTAGGCAGTTTGACAATTTTCTTTCTATCGAAGTCCCTATATAAAAATGGGCAAAAACAGCATGCTCATAATATTGGTTTAAGTCTAACCAAATTAATAAAAACTCATTCTTCATTCCTGCTTTCTGTCGCTCTGAGAAATACATTGCCTGCAGGTTTCATGAATTGGAAGATAATGCAAATGCTAATCAAAAAATCTGACAATCAAATCAGAGGACAGTCTCAAAAGCTGAGAATGTATCACCAGCTAAACAACACAACAAAAAACTGATTTAGGGCATTAACAGATTCTAATAATGTTTAGAGCTTCATCATACCCAGCTTGGCAATTTTGGCTCCTCTCCTGCCCTTTGTAGCTTTAGCCTTTTCCTACAAGAAAAAAGCAGAATGAGCAAAACGTGTTACACAGGATTATCACAACTCTTCTCATCCTGTAGATGAGAGGAAACTTAAGCCTGAACATCTGGTATGTATGTAGCTCTAAAGTTGACCACCGAACACAAGTGTTGATGGTATATTCCTCACCTCTGGTTCTTCTTGGTTTTCTTCCTCTTCCTCACCCGAGTCCATGTAGATCTTCCTCTTTTTGCGCACACGTTTGCCAAGTCTCTCTCCTTCTACTGCCTGACCCTCCCGTGCTTCTCCCGGAGACGATCTTTACAAACACAAAGAAGGTGCACATGAAACAAAAAATATTAAGTTAATCTAAAAAAAAATTAAATGGGGGGGAGGGCGTTAGTAGAGATAACAGAGGCATGGTTTTACCTGCCACTGGAAGGCTGGGCACAAGCTGAGCAGCAGAATTTCCCCTGCAGGAGGGCATCCCCAGGAGCACGGCCACCGCAGGCCCGGCACCTTGACAGCTCCCCATTTGAGCCCAAGTTTGCACTAGAACCAACTTCAACACTGGGCCCAACCTCCACACTGGGGCCCTCCATACTGGGGCCCTCCTCTAAAGACAAAAGCACAGGACCAGGAGCTAAAGGACGGAGGAGAAAGCAGGGCTGAAACTGAGGCCGAAACGTAACGTAGACTTTAAAAACCAAACAGTGAAAGTCTTCATTATAAAAATGACAATCATGTGCCATCATACCTTTAGCTTGAGACAATCCTGGTTTACTCTGACTGGCTGAAGCTTTGCTTGTCCCTGTCTGTGACTGGCCTTCAGGTGGAGGGGTGGGCGTGTGAGATGGTGCGGGGTCCAAGGTCTCACTGTTAGGCTCTGCCTCCTGCCCTTTGACCTCTAAATCTGTGACAATCTCAAGAGTCCGAAACTCAGTCAGGCGGAACTGAAAAAAAGAGACCCATTCCTATCAGCCAAGTTGGTGTGCTACTCTGGTCCTGATTATGAGTTCAGCCTGAGAAACAGCTATACATACAGCCTCCTCCCCCTATAAACAAATATTTGCACAAGCAAGAAAGACCCTGGACCGAAAAACAACAACAACAAAAATCAGTGATATCTTTTGTACCCTGATATCACTGCCTGGCAGCGTTGCAATGCCATCCTTCCAGTCTAATCCCATCCTGTCAAACTCAGCTCCCTGGGAGGGGCCATCACTGGGTGGAGTGTCAGTCATTCCCACTCTGCTGATATGACCAACCTGCAAAGAGTCACATGGAAAGGCATGGTATTATGCGCACAGTCTGCACCTCTGACTTTTACACTTCTGTTTTCCAGGCCCATTGTTTCCCTGTACATGATAACTGCAGTGAGCCAAGCGGTCCCCTACGGCTTGATCAGCGAACTGATTCCGATCACAAATGCAGTTTTTATTCCTCCCTGCACTTGTAAACAGCTCTGCGCAGCATCACCACTAGATGGCGACTGCGCGCTGGCGTGCAGGATACACCATGCACTTCGATTTCAGACAAAACAGTCAATAATAATATTGTTTTGCCGGCCAACTATCAGAGAAATGCGAGCACAAACGACCCCATTAGGGTAAACCTTAGTCCAGATCATTGACAAAGAAGAGGAAAGACGTCTCAACTTTAAGTTAATCAGACAAGTTCGTCTTTTCCTTGTTTTAACAGTATCTCTTAAAACCGACTGCTTGCCTGGCAAGGAGCAAGTGAGGGGCTCATTTGTTTATCAGCTGTAAGGAGAACACTGTTTTCTGCACTCACTGGCCAAACTTAAAAACGTCTTTATCCGCTTAATAATACGATATAACGTTTTAGTCCCGGCGCATGTTCAACACTGAATTAAGGTTATATTTTCTGCTTGCATCGTGGTCACAACCGTGTCAAAAGTAAACAACAATCAGAGCTCCTGGATCTCGGTTAAGTTAGACTTTGCATCCCATGCCTCAGTTTTATTCTAGCCATAAATAAAGTGTATGTAAGAGCGCCCATGATTAGCATTCGTCTTATACAAAATGGCGGAGCATAGGAAGAGGCCACCAACACGTTTAAACTATGTTAATTACTCAAGTTACCATTTTAAACAAATGCCGCAAAGCTGCTACACGTTAAACAAAGGCAAACGCTTGCTGTGTAATTTCCTGACTTGGTGTTTTCATTCACTCTGGCCGTTTTTCTTCACTTTCCCCTTGTCACGGAATGTCAGCCCAGGTTGCTAGCTAGCGCTGACATAAAGCTAACAGTCGCTAGCTCCACTCAGTTCATATGAACTGAGGGCTGCTATAGAGGGCTAGCCGTAGCATTGAGACTGGATGCAGAGCCAGCTATAAGGGCGATCTGTAATAAATAAGTTTCCCGGTTAATAACAATAGGAAAACGCATTTGCAAAATGCAGATACATCACAGAATATCACGCACACTCGTAACAACACCGCGATAATGTTACGAGCTTTAACATTGTTGCTTGATTAATTTCTTCAATAGAAACTTGGAAAAAAAACGATTTATTCTCGCCGTTTTAAATCAGAGTGGAAATAATGGAAACTGTCGCCAGTTTACAAAAACGAACGCCTGCTTTTCAAACGCCGTCCTCGTCAACGACAACAAATGATTATTAACGCCCGTATTGTTTAACAATTGTGGAACTCACCTCGTTTCTGTTTTAACTCTTATTTAGAGCTGGATAGAGTGGTGCGCATGCGCGCAAGACGCGCTGCCTGACACAACTTTGGGTCTCGGAAAAGTTAAGTTCACTGTTGGTGGTCAATACCGGGCCTGCGTACGTTCACAACACGCCCCAAAACTCGATTTAGAGCCGGTGTAACGAGAATTATCCGCCGGACAGGGGCTCCGGGTTCCCCCTTTGACCTAAACCGCCTATAAAAGCGTTAAATACGACTGTGTATGAGCGGAGCGCAGGGAGCACAGTGTCTCCCCCATAAAGAGCCGTTGAGGAGCCGTTGGTTTCCCCGATGGTCAAAAACTGGTCACTTCCCACTTTTTAAGCACACTCTGATCACTGTAGTAGCTCGTGTGGGGCGGACATATTCAGGACACAAGCGTTAATAAGACTACAACCACCGGCGCTAACTATAGATATAAACGCTCAGGCCTGTAATATCACTTGAAAAACGAACACAATGGGGCTGTTAAACCCGAGACTGTCAGATGGAGTGTACTGAGGTGTGTCAGTCTTACATCTCACATCTTATGCATGGAAATATCATCCGACTACAATAAGGGTGATGCCATCACGTTTCATAACACAGCGAGGCTGCTGGGTGCACGATTTATTTATTTTATTTATCTATTACTGTGAAAAATGATCAATTTAACGCAACACCTGACCACACAGGTGCCTCGTCTGGTCACCACATGGGCTTGGAAGTATGTACTGGGTGCAAAATCACTCATATTCAACCAGAATATAAGCAGCTAACCGGTATAAATCTCCCATGCACACTGGGCGGCTTTCCACGGTAATGGCAAGGCTGTAGATGCGAGGTATATCCCCCAAATGGTAAACACCTGGGCTGGGGAATATAACAAATATCCACGACGACATACAAGTGGCACATACAGAGGAAAGTCTTTATTTTTTTCAGTTAAAAACAAATAAAAAAAGGCCGCCCTGATACGAGGTGAAACGAGTTCAGCTGGGCTGTAAAAGCGGCGGCGCTGCTCCGCGTCTCCTGTTGGCCGCTAGGTGGTGGTAGGAGTCCACTTTGTTGGGAGGAGAGCTGGGGGATTTAACCGAGGTCGTGCAGCCTGCTGCAGCCCACGTTATTTGGGAATAAAGCATTAAAGGGAAACCATGAGATGGCATTCAAAGGCAGAGCGGTCGACTCGAAGGTAAGATGGGGAAATCGTGTGCTGTGAGATTATCCGACTGTCCTGTGGATTTTCAGGCGTTTCTGTGAGCCGTGGATCGAAAGTGGGAATTATGTGCGGTTAAACAACAGAATAAGCTGGCTATGACAGGCTGTTTTATATATAATGTAAACACACACGTTAAATATGTATATCATACCTCTTATATATTATAAACCAGCAGCAGGTCGGGCTGCAGCACATAAAAGAGCCTGCCTGACTGCCTGCTTACAGACCACGCATATCCCTCCCACTGCGGGGATCTGCGTCTATAATACCGTGAGAGTGCAATCCTCAGCTTTAGGTTGGTGTTTGCTCATTTTGCGTTATATGGAAAATATGTAGCGTTGACGGACAAGAATCTTTAAATTACGCCCCATTCTCTATCCATCCCAACAGACCGTGCTCCTCAACCTGCTGCTGTGTCTGCTCATATTTTACTCGCTTTTCTACATGATCGGGAGCGTCTGCTTTGGTGCCTTCAGGTGAGAGCCACGCACGCGCAAGGGATCGAAAGGAGGGTTTGTCTCCTATAATAACTGGAAGTATATTGATGATTATAATAAATAGCAACAAATATTCAGAATCCAAATGTCAAGATTCTGAATAAAAAAGTCAGTATTTTGACATTAATCTCTTTGAGTTCTAAAATTAATGTCAGAATTGTGAGGCTATTCTGAAATTAACCTCAGAATTTTGAGATTAATGTCAGAATTGTGAATAAAAAAGTAAATATTCTGACATTAATCTCAGAATTCTGAGATTTCTTTTTTCTCTGAATTCAAAGATTAATCTCAGAATCTGAGAAAAAAAGTTACACCAATCACACACATCAAACAGACTACAAACTGCACTGCTATGCTATTTTTCTTTAACTACATTTAATAAGGTATTTTTTTATTATCCTTTTTAAATGTATGACATTTATTGTAATAGTTTTCTCCACAGTCTCTTTAATGTATTATATTTCTTTTTATGTTTTTGTTGGTATGTTTTATTGTATTCCATTCAAACTGTTATATATTTTACTTTAATTTCTACTTATTGCATTCATAATTTTTCTGTTTGAGCTCCTTCTTTTGGGGAATTTTTAACTTATTGACCTATTTTGTTTCGCCATATCGTATTATGCTCAAGATATTCTACTTTATTTATAGGTCATTCTGCATTATTTAAGCTATTTACTCTTAGGTTATTCTACTTATTGGTCATTTTACTTTATTTAAGGTATTTACTAACAGATCATTGTACTTATAGGTTATCCTTCTTTATTCAAGATATTCATTTAATAGATTATTCTAGTCATTCTACTTTAAGATATTTACTTATAGGTTGCGCTTTAATGTTTTGTCTGCTGTAACTTTATCATATCTCTCATCTCAGGTTGGACCACTTTGATGGACTGATTCCTTTTGACTTTAAGACCGAACCTACCGAATCCAACTCCAAATACTTGGGTGAGCACACCTAATGCGTGCAATGCTGTCGACACAGAGTGGCGGCTTTATACACATAATCTATTTTCTCTTTTCTTTTTCTAGTGAACCTCCTGTCCTTGGAGCTCACCTACTTTTGCAGTGGCCTTCTGTTTGCCGCAGTGGTGAGGAGGCGGGTTTGGGACTACGCTCTCACTGTCACACTGGTGCATGTAATGATCACCAGCCTAGGTGAGCAGAAATGTATCGGTGCATCTACCCAGGTGCATGCTTGAATAACCAAATGCATTGTGTAATGACACGTTTTGTTTCCATGTTGCAGTAATGTTGGAGTTTCCTACTGTGTGGCAGTGGTGGCTGGCTTTAGGTAAGACAAACACTGCCAGCTCATCGGTTACTATCAGTCTTAACTTCATGAGGTTAGCTGTTTCAAATATGTCACTCTTCATTTTTCCCTAGGCAGTGGCTTGTTTCTGATGATTTGCAACGGTCAGTTGATTGCTTACTTCACATGCCAGAGTGAGCAGAGCTACGCCTCCTTCAGCATCTACTGACAGACTGAAAGCCACCCTCCCTGTGTCCAAACTGTTCCAGTCTTGTGAAGTGAGGTAGAAAGGATCAGAACAGATGCTCTCCTTTTTTCTCTTTTTTTTTGAGGGGAAGACATCCATTAGCTTCTCCACAGTGATGGGCTTTTTCTGTTCATCACTAAAATTAGACACCAAAACACCACACGTGAAGTCGGAGCTGGGGTCCAATTTGTGTTTTAGTGTTGCCAATAGGCTGGCATCCTGTTGTTGTTTTTATCTAAACACCGCATGGAGATGCTTTCTGTATTTTGCTCTGTCACTATGCAGCAATAAAGCAGCCAGTGAAGTATTTTGAGTGCACTTGTAAGCTGTGAATGTAATGTTAGAATGAGAATTTTGCAGTACACATTGTATATTTTAATATCCTGTAAATGCAAAGTGTTGAAAAATAAATCTACTCCAAACTGTTGAGTGCTTCATATAATGCATTAAAGCAGCGAGGATGAAATAGTGACCAGCCCATTCCATCATCACGACCACATATTGAATTAACATCAATAGCCAAAAACACAAAACAAACAAACAAAACATCCAATGAAACATACAGTATGTTGCACTGTTAGCATAAAAATCTTTTTGCTCAAGTTCTTAAAAATAGACACCCACTTAAAAATTAATGATGTAAAAAAGAAACAACTGAACAACCGCGCCCCCGGAGGATTCGGTGTTGTTATGAAACTGGCTCTGCTGCCAGGTACTCCACAGGGTTCATGTAGGAGAATCCTTGGAAGGCCTCGCTGACCCCGGCCTCCTGGCACCTGTCGTTCACACAGGCAGGTACAGGTTGTCGTGTAAACGCTGGGTCAATGTAACTGACATCCCAAGGACCAGCCTGAAGAGGAGAGAGGAGTGAGCCATGTTCCCTCGGTTAAAAAGAAAAGTGCGTCGAGCTCATTTCTGATTCACTCGTACCACTTTTGGGATGAAAGGGGGTCTGATTTTTCTGGCCAGGAGGTCATCCCAGTCGATAGAGGCGAAGAAGGGATGTTCCTGCAGCTCCGCCTGGAAACACAATAACAGTTAACCCTTCTGTGGCCATGTAACCCTGTTTCTCTTCTTTTTAGCTGGGGCACTTACAATGTCACAGCTCGCTCCTAAGCGTCTGGAGACATCTTTTTCCAATAAGCCCTCCAACAGTGAGCAGGCAGCTTTAGAGATGTCGCTGCGTAGCTGCAGAGGGCCGTGAAGGATGTTCTGAAACATTTGCAGTTTACTGCGACTATAAAATGGAGGCTGTGAGAGAGAGGGAGGGGAAGAGGGAGATGGCTTAAGGTGAAGATGCTGATGATGTAAAGGATAGAGATCACTGCACCTGCACTCACCAGTCCACAGATCATCTCATAAGCCACCGTGCCGAGTCCCCACCAGTCCACAGCTGGGCTATATGGATGGCCGTGTAACACCTCTGGAGCAAGGTACTCCGGAGTGCCACAGAAGGTGTGCATGACCCCACCTGTGGCCACACCTTCTTTACAAAGCCCAAAGTCAGTCAGCATCACGTGGCCCTCACTGTCCAGCAGGATGTTCTCAGGTTTCAGGTCTCTGCATAAAAACAAAGAACACTGAGTCCTGCAAAATCTGACATTAGCTGTTGTTTCTTTGTTAGTTTCCTTTAGCTTCACATTGCTTTTCCTCACTCTTTAATTTTTAATGTGGTGCCGGAGAACATGGTGGATTTGAGTGGGAAAATTTAATTGGGAATTCTCTGCATGAATAAATGAAGCAGGCAGAAGGTGTTCAAATCAAACATGCACAAAGAAAGAGAGAGAGCACAACGCGCGAGAAAAACTTCGAGCCTCCGAAAGGGTGACTATGCTACCGCTTTCAATGCTCTCGTGTTTCTCCACTGTTCAATATATACTAATAATATACTATATCATATCATAATATATATATATATATGTATATATACTATGTAACCTACTGTAGACGATGTTAAACGAGAGTGACCGTAGCCCAGTGCTGCATACGCCATCGCTCACGCAGCAGATTAGAAAGCAGCTCTGGGTTCTGGAAATGACCCCTCTCTCTGCAGGTGGTAGAAAAGCTGAAAGCAAAGCAAGGAATTCAACACAACAGCAACACCTGCACTTCTACAAACTCATAGAGTACACAACAACTAAACATCTGAATGCAGAATATTTTGAAATCCTTAATGTTATACACTCACCTCCCCTCCATTGACATAGTCCAGGACAAAGTAGAGAGTGTTTGGTGTCTGGAAAGAGAAGTGGAGTCCCACCAGGAATGGATGCTGTAGTCCTTTCAGGAGTACACTCCTCTCAACCATCACATGCTTCTGCTACAGAGTAGATAGATAGATAGATAGATAGATAGATAGACAGATAGATAGATAGATAGATAGATAGATAGATAGATAGATAGATAGATAGATAGATAGATAGATAGATAGATAGATAGATAGATAGATAGATAGATAGACTAGACAGACAGAGTATAAGTAGTAATAAGAATAGATAGATGAGTAATATATGATAAGGTAGTGAAGATTAGATTAAAATTAGATAGAGTATAGAAAAAGAGATAGAGAGAGAGTAGATATAATAGATAAATGATATGATAATGAGTAGTAAAGAGGAGAATGTATGTAGATATGAAAAAAAATGATATAAAGAGATAGAAGATAGAGAAGGATAGAAAGATATATGGATGAAGATTAGATAGATAGATAGATAGATAGATAGATAGATAGATAGATAGATAGATAGATAGATAGATAGATAGATAATTACCTCTTTCCTCTTGACAATCAACTGTTTCTGGAGCACTTTCACGGCATAATAACCCCCTTGTTTTCTATGTCTTGCCAGCAGCACCTGTAAAAGTTTGAATTTTCACATTTAATCTCACAGCACCAACCTCAAACACAGCAACTTACAAGGTCAACCAAATCTAGGTCATGTATAGTGCTCTAATTTCATCATATGAGAGGAAATATTGAGATGGTACGAGCCAGACCCACAAACACAAAACAAATAGCTGAAATTAGTGAGTGAAAAAAAATGTCCTGGAGCTGTTGACTCATCAGATAAGAATTCAAGAGGTACGATGTCTAGAGAAAAGGAAGAAATGGACTGTGTTTATGTGTGTTTATGTGTCAGAGACAGGGCGAGGACTGAAGTATTGATGTTACAGGAACAAACTGCAGAGACGAGGCAATCCAGGTTGTTCGTGAGTGCATGTAGGTGTTTTCTGTTTGTTTGTAAGTAATAAAAAAATGACAGTAAAAAAACTGCAACCAGCTGTTTTACAGCGATGAGTTAGATTTGTGACTATGTTAGAAAAGTATTTTTCCCACAGAATGGATCACGGTTGGGAAATGAGCGATTCCTAAAGCTGTAACTTGTTTTTGACCAGCCACCTCTCTGATATCATGATATGACCACCGAATATTTGCCAGAAATTAACATCCAGGGTACCAGTGCTTGTTTGGTGCACTGATGCTTAAAGCTGGTCACTTGGAGTGGGTGTAAAACTGATTTAAAAGCAGGTTTTAACAGAGCCTAAATGTTTTTTTCTGTGCTGAGAATTCGCTGTGGATCTCTCCTCTACTGAACAACAACAAATCCTCATGTTTCAGACCAATCGGCTGTCTTAAAGGGGGGTCAGGGGGGTAGGTGCTGAGGATTTTTTTTCCCCACCTTTCCAAAGCTTCCTCTGCCGATGACTTTGAGGTAGTCGAAGTCTGATGGCTTCATCCTGGTTAATACAACAGCAGAAAACAGTTAATAATGCACGTCCGAGTACAAATAAGTCATGCATAATAATTGGATGTGAATGCATGATAAGAAATAACTCTCAGGTTGCCTCTGGTGAAGCTCATGAATGAGAAAAAAGCCTTCTGGCCACTTTATTAAGTCCAGATTGTGCATCATTGACAACATAGACGAAATATTTCCCGATGTAAAGGGAGAAAATGACTTACTGTGAGGTTTCTGTGTTCGTGGAGCTCTGAGGAAAAGACATAGAGGGACAAGACGGTCAGGAGGTCAGCTCAAGTTTCATCTTCTGTCAACACTCAGCAAAGACTTAAAAAAAAAAGTCTTCTCTCTGAACTCACCAAAGTAGATTTCTCCTCCTTCCCTCTCCCCGGTTTGCTTTGTCTCTGCAGGATTTTCTCAGTGTCCAGGCTTCAATCGGGAGATCGGACACAGAATATGAGGGTTTGTTTTATGAGGTTCAACACGAAGGAAAAAAGCTGTGAAAAAATGACTGTTGCCAACTTACTGTTGGCAGAGGTGCTGGCTGGAAACAAATTTGTGCAAGAAGTCACTGAAGCCCACTTTCTTCCCCTTGAGCAGAGCTGTAGCACAGGAAGAGGGTTAGTCCCTTACATAAGAGGTCAACAGCTGTATTTACTCAGCAGAAGGTTGGTGTCACTTTATCACCGCACTTCTCTCAAGTGATCAAACTTCTCTAATTATATGGAGACTTTCTGAACCTTTCAAGCCAAGATAAATAATTTTAACATTGTGGTATTTTATGCAGTAATGACTAATTACTCTCTTTTGGCCTCTTTAGCTTTTATCTTTATATTAGATGTTATACACGAGCTTGCTTTAAGATCACAGGTAAAGTAAAGCTTATCTTAAACATTTATATTTAATGTTCTTACCTGAGAGAAACGAGACAAGGCCTTTCATCTTGGCATAGGTCATGGGCCTTTCTTGAGACACGGTCATCTGGAAAAGAAAAAAAAAAGCGACCAGCTGGTTTAACTTGAAAAATGAAAATTAAAAAAGAAAATATCTGAGGAGCAGAGCGCAGGTAGCTGCTGCTGAAGGCACACGGGTGGACTGTCCTTCTCTGAGGTGCCCTACTTGTCTCACGTCGCCCCTGACCTGCCGTTCAGTTTAAGGACCGGTGACGCAGGGGAGACGCTGAATACCAGTGAAGCTGCGTTCAAGTGCCCTCGGAGATATCCAAATTATATTACGCGTGGACAACCGTAAGTTACGACAAGCCACTGGCCAGCAGCATGTTTCATTTTTCCTCGGCAGCATCTGGGACTCTCGTTCCTGCATTAGATTGCATAAGCGTACACCAAAGCCTTTTAACGTTTAAACGGTCTGCTGACTTGTTAGAAGTCACCAGTGGAAAATATATC